GGAATTTTACACAGAATTTCATCTGGAATTTCACCCGGAATTTCATCTGGAATTAATTTCACCCGGAATCAGAGCTCCCCAAAGTGACCCCCGCCCTCGGCACCCAGAACTCGCCGGATTCCCAGGATTGGGAATTCCCATGGATTTTCCAGCCCAAGAACCTTCTCCTCATTGGATATTCCATCTTTTCCCAAAGCTCCAGCCAGGAAAAATCCAGAAAAAAAAAAAAAATCCCTTCAGAAGCTCTTGGATGGATTTTTCCTCACAATTCCAGGATTTTTTTTTTCCCTCTTCTACAGGCAGTCGGATTTTCCAGCTGATTCCACAGGGGATTAAAATCGGCTGCAAAACTTCCCCAAAAAGGGATCCAAATTCAGAAATATTTYGGGGATTTGTCATTTCTCAGCTGGGTTTATTTTAAATTCCTGTTGATTGGAAAATTCCCATTTTTTCCCCTTGGAATTCCAGACTGGAGCCTGGGATGGGGGTTGGGAGCTCATCTCAATCCAGGAAAATTCCAATTTTTTTTTTTTTGTTGTTTTTTTCCCTAAGGAGCAGCTCAAACCTTTCCTCACCAACAGGGCGAGTTCAGCCTCTCGAAACTCCAAAAATCAGGAAAAAAGAATTTAAAAAATCCCTAAAAACCTCCACCCACCACCAGCCAGTTTTTTTTGGGATATCGGAACGGCAACATCGCAACAAACACGGAACAGATTCTGTGATCCCGCCCTCGCTCGGAGCCGGATTTTGGCCAAAAAAACTCCAATTCTCTCACTTTTAATTCCTATTTTTTTTCCTGGAAAAAAATTAGTTTTTTTTTTTCCCTGGAAAAGCAGGAATAAGGAATAAAGAAACCACCTCACCCCTGCAGGTGAAAAAAATCCCCCGAGGAAAAAATTCCAGCTCCTCCCACAGCTCCCAAAAAAAAAAAACCAAAAAAAAACCAAAACCCAAAACCAGAAACTTTTCCCCAAATTCCCAAACTTTGGAAAAGCGGAGGTGTGGATGGATTTTGGGTGGGTTGTTTTTTTTTGGGATTATTGGTCCTGATCCGAAGGTTCCGGCAGGAACGGGGGATCGTGCGGGCGCTGCCGCCAGCCCAGGGCGTGTGACACGAGGCGCCGCGCCACCGCCGCGTCCGTCTGCGGCCGCTCCTTGCCCAGCTGCAGCAGTTCTGGGGGAAAAAATGGGGAAAATGGGAAAAAGGGGGAAAAATGATCAGCTCGGTGCTTGGTTTGTAATTAATGGGAAATTCTTAAAAAAATGGGCAAGGGAAAAATGGGGAAAATGGGAAAAATGAGGAAAAATTATCAACTCGGTGCTTGGTTTGTAATTAATGGGAAATTCTTAAAAAAATGGGCAAGGGAAAAATGGGGAAAATGGGGAAAATGGGGAAAAATAATGGGGAAAAATAATGGGAAAAAATAATGGGGAAAAATAATGGGGAAAAATTATCCACTCGGTGCTTGGTTAGTAATTAATGGGAAATTCCTAAAATAATGGTCAAGGGAAAAACGGGGAAAAATGGGGAAAAATAGTGGGGGAAAGGGGGAAAAATTATCAACTCGGTGCTTGGCTAGTTAGTAATTCATGGGCAAATCTTAAAAAATCAGGCAAGGGAAAAATGGGGAAAAATAATGGGCAAAAATAATGAGGAAAAATAATGGGGAAAAATGATCCACTCGGTGCTTGGTTAGTTAATAATTCGTGGGAAATTCCCAAAAAATTGGTCAAGGGAAAAATGGGGAAAATGGGAAAAATCATCTATGATTGGTTAGGGGGCAGTTTGTGGGTAAATCCCAAAAAATTAGTTAAGGGAAAATGGGGAAAAATGGGGAAAAATTATCCGCTCGGTGCTTGGTTAGTAATTAATGGGCAAATCTTTAAAAAAGGGTCAAGGGAAAACTGGGGAAAACATAATGGGGAAAAATAATGGGGAAAAATTATCCGTGATTGGTTAGGGGGCAGTTTGTGAGTAATTCTGGATATTGGTCAAGGGGAAGGTGGGAAAAATGGGGAAAATAATGGGGAAAAATAATTGGGAAAAATAATGGGGAAAAACGGGGAAAAATTATCCAAATGGTGCTTGATCAGGAAGCAGTTTGTGAATAATCCCGGAAATCAGTCAAGGGAAAAATGTGAAAAAATTATCAACTCGGTGCTTGGTCAGGGAGCAATTTGTGAATAATCCCAAAAATGGGGAAAAATGGGAAAAAATGGGGAAAAATGATCAACTCGGTGCTTGGTCAGGGAGCAATTCCTGGGAAATCCCGGGAATTTTGTGGGGTCAGAGTCTCTGCTGCTCCCGAGGTTCATTGGCTTTTCCTTCCTGTGGCAACTGGATTGGAAATCAATTAAGTGGTGGTAATTAAATGGTGGTAATTAATTAAATGGTGGTAATTAATTAAATGGTGGTAATTCAATGGTGGTAAT